ATTCTCAATAGTTTAAATCATCAGTTAAAATCATTTTATATTAATAAAATAATTATTGAAATTGGATTGAGTTCTACCAGCTGAGGGTAATCAAATATTAATGCAGACTTTTTTTTTTTTTTTTAGGGATGTTTTTCCTTAATGCAAAAGCAGGCGAAAAAGCTTTCTTTCCCTGGGATCATCAGTGGCTTTAATGTAATTCATGTGAATAATTACAGATAATCACGCTCAATTATGCACCTAATGCTAATATGACTAATAACGTGATTTAATGAACACGGCCCTGACAATTTGGAATATACCAAAGAAGATTATGAAGTTAATGAATGTAAGAATTATTGCTGTCAGTTTTTTTATGCTCTCTAAATGCCTGCCCCGCATCTCTTTTTGTTGAGTTTGGATGTCAAAGCACTCTCACTGGACACCTCGTTAGGTACCCCACCAAGATAGCCTAAATCGATGTGGTTTTGTCTATTTTTTAGATGAGCAGGATTAGTTATACATATCATGATGAGAACGGTTGTTTTGTTTGTCTGTGTTGTGTGATTTTGTGACGCATTTCTTGTCTGGGGTGCAAAGACTCTTGTTAAAATTTGTACATGCACAGTAGCTCCTCTTCAATACGGGTGATAAAAGGATTTTGCAGCACAGAAAAAAAACAAAACAAAAAGACAGCATCACACCAATGCCCAAAGAATTGCGGATTCTGAGTGCAAATGAGGGAACAGTCTAGAAAAGTCATTGGCATTGAGTATTGCAATTGGGGACAGGCCCTACATTAAGCAACCAAATCACACGATCGTACGGAGATATATAAGTCAATCAGCACCATCGTGCACGTTTGTCATCTAACGCGTCTCGGAGGACTGGAGGACTTGGTCAAACCTGACCATGACGGAGCGAATGGGCCGGAGCTCCCAATCCGGGGATCCGGTTGACAGGACATCACCCTTGTATTATTCATGCGATGGCCCTTTTACATGCTGTTGTCCCCGAAGGTTTGTTCCCATCTCAAAGCGGTGGGTGTTCCATTAACACAATGATTGTGGCTAGTTGAAATATAAAAAATGACCTTTGCTCGGGGGTGCCCGCGCCATTAGCTAAAGGTCAAAAGAGACAACGCATTTAACATTAGCCACAGAATCAGTGGCGAGGATATCGATCACTTTAAATCACACTGGACCTTCAACTTCATTGCTCACAGTTTGAATGAATAAAGCGACTTGGGTGGCATGTTTACCTTGATGACCTTTGGCTTTGTTTGCATGAACATACATAAAATAATGTTTGCGTGAACTATGTGAGTGTTGATGTTTGAGTGTGTGCACATAGATGTACCACCGATATAGGTGGTCCTTCTGACCACATCATACTTATTGTTTCTCTCAAACATCACATCTCGCAATGTGTTGAAGTTGAGGTTAGCAGAAGGGGTTATTCAGGAATAATGCATTATGACGAGCTTTTCCAGCTGGTCCTGTTCTGCTCGCACTGCATGAATGCAGCTTTCACATTTGTGCATGTCAGCCAATGTAACACATGTAGTATACGTGTCATTTAACACTGAATGATACTCAAAAAGACATCCGGATCAACGAACGGCAGGGCTATAAAGGTTCGGAATGTTCCTCAGCGTTGGTGCAATGTGTCAAAGTAGTAAATATTGCAAAAGACACGTGAAAATGAGTCGTGCGTGCACTTTACAGCAACACACACAAAAAAAGGAAGAAAATAATAAAAAAAAACATTTGTTAGGTTTTTGAGATCCATGACTCAAGTGGGTGTGGCACAAACAACTTGGTAGGCGGACCTGTCTCTCTTAGGCCCCTCCTCCAGGTTTTGATCCCATGCAAATACTTTTTTAACGATGTATAATTATTGTCAAATATTAAAAATATCGTCGTCCCTCATAAAATATACAAGCCTACTACATTTTCAAATATTAAAACATTCGTCGTCCCTCATGAATGTTCAACGTTTGAATTCCTCGCCACTGGTGGCAGTTAAAAGGACACAGACGTGTCTGGGTAGCGTCGACCTCTCGGCCCTGTGAACACGCATAACGTTGCCATGCTCAGACTGATGTTTATAATGGAGGAACAGGATGACCTTTATGATGAATTAATAATTGATAGAGTAATTGGACTGGCCGTTTACTGGGTCAAGGAAGCCCAAGGTTTTCGCTGCCAAAAGAGAGCCATTATTCTGCTTTGTGTGGCCAGCAAAGGGCAAACAGCAGATCAAATATTCACCATGAAGCGCGCACACGCAATTAGCCCTGGCCTAATATGGCTGACTTCACAGAAAGTCTCAATGCGAAGCGAGCCGCATCTACTGGCGGTCACCTTGCAGGGGTTGGTCAACATGGCTGCGAATATGACGACGAACGACGCTGGCGGGGAGAATGATGTTCATCAGGGAGTGTCAACAGTGTGGCAGACAAACGGTTGAATATAAATGGGTTGGGGACGGGGAGTGTTTTCACTTCAATTAAACTGGATTGCCAAGGAAATGCCTAATGGGTCACGCACGTGCCGTGCGCGTCTCAAGCATGTCACTCTTGATGTGCTCCCTCTTCCAGACGTTCTCATATTGAGATCAACGGCATTCACCCCCCCCACCCCCTCCAATATCACTGAAATGCCACCAAGGTTTGCATGTCAACTTTTGACATGGCGGATTCGCCATCCATTAAGGCATAATGACGTGAAAGATCTTCTATTATTTGGTGCTTAGCTGTGCACGCAAATCACACGGAGGTCAAGTGGAATTGAACTGCGGTGTCTGAGTGCCTTGTCGACTTTTGGAGTCGTCCCTTTGAACACTAATGGTGTGTTGTGATTGATTAGCTCCTCAGTTTGACGGTTAAATGTAAGAGTTTGCTTGTCAAGACACGAAAGAACCCGACTATAGGTTGGTTCATAAAATGAAAGTGTTTTATGCAACGGAAGACAGAAAGCAGGCAGTGATTGGTGATGATGGGTCAGGGCCTTCCCGAGAGCAGGAAGCGTAAATTGCTCTGCATTGACGAGAAGAGATGTTTTGTTGGAAAAAGTTATAAAGTGATACAGGCTAACAGACTTTCGGAATGCACACCGCTTTATTTCAGAAAGTATCAAAAATATTTTCATTTTAAGTCATACGATAGACTTTGACTCAATAAACCGACCAAGAAGAAACTGACCATTTGCATTCATTTTAAATTGCAGAAAATACATTTTTCTCACTGCCATTCTCATTTAGCTGAATAAGGAAACAGATAATTCTGGGAACACATCTTGGTATGATGCCGTATTATCGTACACTACGACCACAAAAACAAACAAGGAACGTTTCAGGCATTTTTGACACAGCTCTTGTATTGGATCTAATTAAATGTTGGGGCCAGTGAGTTTATATACCCCTCCCCCACTTGATTTGAAAAAAGAACAAGAGCTAAGAATGGTTCTCTTTTTAACAAAAATGGAACAGTCAAGCCTCGTAGCCCAGACGTCTGCTTTGAAATCTTCTTCCCTGCAGCTCAGAGTTGTGTTGGCGCTCAGTCGATCACCTCGCAAATATTCTCTCCGCAACATGACAACTGATTCCAACAGATGTGCAGAGATGAGGGCAGATGAGTGTACCGATATCAGAAAAAAAAAGAAAAAAAATCCTCTCCTCTCTGAATGGGACTGGAGTTGAAAAACATGCATTGCGACGTGCACATCAGACGCAGGCAAACTCCACCGTGAAACTATCCCCTCTTTTTCTCTTCTCCTTCTGTACTGAAGAGGGAGTCAAAGAATGCTTACGCGTGGAAAATTTCAAGGCTTCGCGATCGAGATCAAGTAGAATTTTTACTGTACTGGTGTGGGGTGAAAATCCCATGCTGCATTTGCAGAAGGGGTGCGATCTCATTAGCTATTCTAGTCCATCTCTGAGATGGTGCTTGGGGCAGGTGGGCCCTAAGGAGCCGTCTGGATCCCCGCTGTGATGAAAGACGTCTGGTTGTCACGCAGATTTGATTGGATGGTGTTTAATTGCTACATTCTGGTTGGATGGCCCATCGGTTAATTGGAACCCAACCCCGTCTGTGAGCTGGGAGTAAATGTATGGGGAACATATGGCACGGGTTGAATATTGCAGATGTGTGCACGACGCGGCAATGGCTTTCGCACTTTTGGCACCGCAAATCCACCTTTGTTTATCTGAAAAAGCCACCGAAATCTCAAAAGCACTTTTCTTGGGTGACAAATTCGTTTTTGTAAGGGTGAGTTCACATGAAAATGATGCATTTTGTTTGACTGAAGGGGGGAAAACGTTTACATCGACCTGCAAAAGTGAAAATTCCATGATGCCTGCATGCCACTGCAATAGTCAGCCATCATCTCACACAACAGCCATCATTGTGAAGTACACTTAATCTAAAAAGTAACAGACAAATGCATGTCCTTCATTTTCAAAGGAAACAAAAAATATCTGTGATTAGATATAATGACCTGCAATTGACTGATGACCACTCCAGCGTGTACAGAGCTTCCCACCTACAGCCCGCTTCCCGTCTAGGCTCCACCTTGCTCGCGATCCTAATAAGGACACGCGGTACAGAAATTAAACAAAACTTTCAACATACGACATCATAGTCTCAAAAACATGTTTACCATACGAAAGACCAAGATGGCAGTCCAAAATAGTGTTACAAACAGTCCCTATGCTTCCGCCTTCGGGAGAGGTACAATCCCGCTTCAAAAAGACATGAGGGATCAGAACTCCCCCAACCCAAAGGCCCCCCAAACCCCAAAGGAAAAAAAAAAAATCATCAATCTTTGGACAATTGACCAACCCAGTGTAAACCCAGGATCTGGGTCTGATTGACTTACTGTCAGTGTAATCCATATCATAACCATCTGCTCGGATGCTGTGAAACAGCACGAGCATATTAGCTGTGCGTCCCCTTTGAGGGTTTCAGCTGACAGGAGCCCGCAGGCCTCTGCGGAGTCATTTGGAAGAGTACCTGTAAAGCCACGCAGCATGAATCCAAATTCTGCTATTGTGTCTGCTGAGAGCTCAACACTTGTCTCGCTTTCTGATCTTATTCTTGGCATGATGGGCAGTTTTCACCTGAAAATGATGAAAGGACACGCATGGATTTGATTCGAGAAAATTGTTTTGAATTCAAATCGTTGTAATGTGTTTTATTTAAGGTAGTGAGTCATGGGGTAGTTTTTCCCCCCACCCCACACTGTATAGTGTTAGCATGAACACTCATAAGTGTTCATCTAAACACTCAATAGTGTCATTATTTCTGCGCTGTCAACAGTACATTTTGTTTTCTGTCACACACTATTCTGTGCACAGAATTAACACTTTTATAAATGTTACTTTAACCCCGGGTTGTGTGGAAACATGTAGACACTCTGCCTGTGTTAAAATTAACACCCTTGGTCTTAAATTATCACCAGCAGATTTGCTGTGCATGTCTTTTGAAGGAAGAGTTTTTGTTTTGGTTTTTTTCCAAGAAACAACTATCGTTGAGATGCTGAATGCTTGTTGTGATGAATGAACAATCACGTCCACACTCTTAACTATGGATTCATCCACTAATCAGTTATTACTCACATCCCTGGTGCTGCTACAAATGTGGCGGTCTGACCTCTGGAATTGTCTAATGTCGCCGAATCATATTCTGAAATGTCTTTTGAAAAGCTCTGGCGGAATTGTCGTCTGGCGGATGCCCCTCGGCTTCCCCAGCTCCTAGATGGTTCTGCTCAAATCGGCCCAGTGGATAATAAAAGGTTCAGATGGTTCTGCAGTCCGGGATGTCCCTTTGTAAGCTCTCGGTACAACAACATATAATAAGCTCTGCGGGCAAAAACAACCGAGGTCATCCGCTGTCAACCAACTCCAATAACCTGCTGTTCTGCGCTTCCCGGAATCCATGAACGAGCTAGTCGCCTGATATCAAGTGTGCAGCCGACTGTCCGATTCTGGCTTTTTTTTTTTAATGAAACCTGGTGAGTTCTCGTATTCCACAGTTACATGAGTGAAATAATGTAACAAGTGCATGTGTGTCTGGAGGCCTATTTATGCGCCAATCATTCCCTTCCTCCGGTCGCGGTCCTGACGTTGACCCTGGCGTGACTTTGAAATCGGGAGCAGCGCAAATTTCACCTGATGTTTGCTGAAATTTCACCTCACTTTCATCAGCTTGTAACGGAAGGTTTCAGTTTGACTGCCTGTATGTCACAGAGCTGACGGGGCT